GCACTTATTTAGTAGAAAAAATTGTCTTTACCGCGTGAGGGACCACAAGTAATATTTGCTATCCCGGCAAAGGAACACTTCGCAGGTGCATGTGCCATTTTGGTTGTTTGCCAGTAGCGTAAACTGCCATTTAGGTGGTCAGTGGACTATGGACCGATTTGAAGAATGACTGAAAGTTCCTCAGTAATTGAAAACGGTCTAAATCTGTTATTGAAAAATTTCCAGAGGTAGAGCGAGGCGGAGGGGGAGTCAGTGCTTGTGGAAAACAGAATATACCGTAGTCATTTCCAAGTTTGTAATCTAAGCGGGGCACAGCGTCAGCTGTTCCGGAAAAGTCATTCTCAGGCTATTCAAAGACATTCACAAGTCGATTTCTTGGAGTGCAAAGAAGAGACAACTTACAGGTAATATTATTATTAGGCCAAGATGGTTCGTTTCTCACTGAGCCCGAAAATCACACTTAGAAAGGAAAAGACGAGGAAAAATAGCGAGAGCAAGGAAAATACTATAAGCTTAAAATGACGTATTGACACTTCACATTTGCCCTGTTTAGCTGTTCTTGAATTATAGTTTATCAGTTTCAGATATCTCCGCTCAAGAAGTAAAATATTTAAATTGAGACATCTTTCAACAGCAGCGACAGTTTGGATAGGGAATCCCCCTAGTGCCTAGAGCAGGCTAAGAAGACTTCTGAGACTTCCTGCTTAAGATTCTATAATTTTGAAAAAAGAGATACCAAAAAATATTGTAAATGCGAAATGATTTTTTCCACAAATAACAAAAGGAAAAGGGTTGCGAAATCCGCATTCCGGATTCCGGATTCCAGATTCCATTCCTTCCACAAAGTCTTCAAAAACATGGCGGACAGTAAATAAGCTTAAGTTCACCGCCTTCTCTCCCTTCTTCGTTTGGTTAAAACCATAGCCACATAGAAAACAGTGATTGAAAGTATGCAGTCTTTAGGAATGGACAAGTTTCGAGTGGCATTTACCCGATTTCTCGCTTTCTATTCTAACAATCCTTCTGGACTTCACGATGGCGAAACACCGGCGAAATGGCAAAGTAAGGCAAGTTTCGCCACTCATCCCTCGACCGAACCTGAATGGCCGCCAAAACTTTTAACACGATTCAGTAGCTGAAGGATTGAACTACACAATGATATGTAGGAGAGTCTGTAAGTGTGAGCCACTTTTGAGATTTAATCCACTGAATTTGGCTAAAATCGTATGTTTCGCTAAGTGGGTCAAAGGGGCTAAGTGTGTTTCCTCAGATTTTCTAAACGAAAAGGTGTTGCTGATTCTGACCTGTACTATTTTAAAGATAAAGACTCTATTAAAATAACTAGTAAATTGGAAGCTTTGGGTCGCACTCTTTTATCCGGAGCAATCGGTTGAATTTTGACAAAATTTGCATATTTCACAAGCATCTCAGGTCCTCATGTGGCGCCGAAAGAAAATTCGTTAAAAAAAAATTACGGAAGCGAATTTCTCCAATCTAGTTTCATATTTGTTATATACTTATTAAAAGAAGTCTACAGAAAAATTATGAGCGAAATCCATTTTGTGGGCAAAACTCGATATGAGGATCTTACAGAGACTGGCTCTTAAAGGAAAAGACGCCTGAGAAGCTGCAATCTTTCCAGCAACGGCACAGGTAAAACACAGGCAATCAGTCCCTAGCAACGGTTGCTACCGAAAAGCCTCGCTTTGGTGAAATCGTCGCCATGTTTGCAATCGGTCTATTCATCGAATCTCTCTGTGTATATCTCTACACAGCCAGATTTTAAATCAATCATTGATCAGTTAATAAGTTTTGAAACTTCTGAAATTCATGTCAACCATAACGTAACATTAAGATGCAGTGTAATCTAGATAGTAATCTAATCGATTTGGCACAGAACCGCAGTTAAGGTGAACAAAGATAGAGTAAGCCCTGAACAAAATTATATAAATAAACGCTCACCTCTCGTGTTGCATGAAGAACCAAACACGCAAGAAATTCCTCCAAATCGTTATCTTACGTTTATAAATCATGCTGGATGAATAAAATTTGCTCGACTTAGCACGTGTCCGGGGACTTTCCGCAGAATAGAGTCACGTGGTAAAACCACCTGCTAAGGAACAAAGCATCTATGTATTTTAAAATTATGGCGGACGGCTGTTGATGGTTGCAACTTGCGTTGGTTGCGTTGCTCTTTACTGCGTAAAGAGAGTATTTGTGAACTCTGTGGACTGTCCAGACGCGCAGATTTTTTTTTAATCACGAAACAAAATATCTCCGAATTGTCAGCGACTGGCTTTTACTTTTAAAGGAACGGATCTAAGTTCAACTGGTGGACACACGTACTGTTTGAGTCTTCGCGATGCTAATAAATGTGAGTACCATTGTTCCTTATTTTAGAATAATCTGTTATTGGAACCTCTAGGCATACGCATTATGAAAATGACAGTTGGATATATGGCCTTTCGAAGAGCGCTGTCAATTAATTTATTACCTAGAGCCATTTTGGATTTTGTTTACATGTGTTTGCTTACCGAGCGTTTTGATACAAAGTAATTTCGATACGCCAGGCGATATATCTCGTTCAGATACAAATTGATTCAGTTGAGGTGTACAACCAATATTTCGCGACATTTGTTTTTCTTGAATTGTTCACTTGCAATAACTATACATCAGGTAATCGCAATATTTTTGCAGTTTTACTGGTTAAGTTCGTATCGAAATGACTCTTTTCCTTTACAGTTACTTGATCTGATTACATTCTTTCTCTCACGCCAAATGCGTCACGTTAATTAAACTTTGCGTCCGTCCTCTTTCGCTCACACATAGCAATACCAACCACAAAACCAATAGTGAATGCTCTGGCTCAGGACTTGGGAGCTTCATGATGATTTTAGTGGAATCAAATTTTATTGTGTTAGGTCTTGCGAGAATGAATGCATGTATAGTTGGTAAGTAAAATTCAATAAAATTATATATTATAGACATTAAACTTATTATATTGACTCAGTTAAGCCTAAAATGGTTATTTTTCTGCTTGGGAATTCCTAAAAAGTTTCAGGAACATGATATGTTGGCATTTAGTTTGTTACATGTAAACAATCAGGACCTTATACATACACTGCTTACATGTACAGCTGTTTCAATAAGGCTTGCTTTGGTCATTGGGAATTGAGCAATAGTAAGCTATTGTTTGGTGGTCACTCAGGGAAATCATTGCATTGTTTGGTATGCCCAAATGCCCAATAGGCTTTTATAGCTAACCTTTACTTAATCAACTATATACAGTGTAGCTTCTGGAGAAGCGACAACCACGTAAATGACATCCAGTATTTTCATTTATTACATTTTAAAACAAAATCTTCTAATAATCTCTTGTCCATACAAAAAAATATGCAGTGACTTTGTTAACTTCTGCATCCTTTATCCCTGATGCATAAAAATCCCCAAAGATGCAAATTAATAATATTCATGGCATGCATTCCAATGGACGCAAAGATCCACAAAAAATCTGAACATGTGTATTTATAGAAATATCCCATTTGTGTATTCTGTGGCAGTTATTATGGCTGTTGTTGAAGGATGCATATTTCCTTTAGCCTTTAGAAGGACTGCATTTTAATTTCAGTGTAAACAACAGTTTATTTTCTACTACTGTAGACAACTAAAAGAATTTACAAGAAAATAATTATAAATAAATAAATAAATAAACAGTACATACAGTAGTGGGACTCCCAAAATAACTAAAAAGCTAAACTAGCTAGTTTGATCACAGTTACTTTTTATCTTTGTTTCGGAAAGGCCAATAACATCGAATGAATGCTGTAGATCTGATAGCAGCATTGTCAAACCATCATGGTTAGCAGAAAGACTTCTTATGTTGAAATGAATTGTAGAAAAGAAATGCATAGATTTGCTCTGAGAAGGCATAGATTTGCCCTGGTTTGCTCTTTGTACTGCAGTAATACAGAGTTTTGGAGTCTGTCAAGCTAATAAGTCAGATTAACTGTCTGGTTACATAAAGGCCCAAGCCTTTTCAATTACAGACTTGTATATTTTTTTTATCTGGGATTCAATGTTTCTGGACTGGGACTCAATATTTTTCAAAAGATGAGTCCCAGGACTGACCATAACTATTTGTAACCAAAATCACTGAATATATATTCACGTCTGCAATATTTCCATTGAAAAGCAATACCACCCAAGCATTAAATGTTGCACCATTCTTGTACTAACTCTTTGTAAATAGACAAGTAATGTCCTTTTCTGACAATCCCAAAGAACTGTTGTTTATTCAAGCTATGCAGATATCCCTGCCAGTTTCTTTGTATAGCCTGTGCTACACTGTATCTAGCATCAATTTTGTTTGCCTTGTTCATAATCCGTATGCACTAAAGAACAGTAATTTATCAAGTCCTAAAAAAACGTTTTCTTAGGACCTACATCTGTATGAGATTGATTCCTCACTTTTTTCTCTAAATTCAAACAATTTTATACAGTCACCCATTGACTAATAGTTATCAGGACAATGCTAGAAATAATAACTTAAGGAATACAAAAACCTTTTTTCAGTCAAAAGATTCGGTCACAACTAATCTTGGTTAATCTTACTAATACGGTTTCTTTCTTATCAACTGTTTGCTGTAATAAGACCTACGTTGTACATGTGCTTTTTTCAAATTGAAAAATATAATACTATTACTTAATTGAAACAGCATGTCAATGTTCACAGATTGTTACGTTTAATGATGCTAGTGTCCTGTTTTATTTCTCTAGCAGTACTTTTTAATTTTTTTATGGTCCCCTCAGTGTCTGTATTAACAGAGTTTCACTGATTGATTAAAAGTAATATCTGTCAAACAGTCATACAGACTTCTTGTGAAAGTAGAACAGTATCATGGAAATTAACAACAAAAACAGACTGTGATGGACAAGAACTCAAATGCTGTCAATACAGTATAGATTATATATTTTGTACCTTAACCCTCATTCCTGAATTAATGGTGGAGAAAAATTGCCTGTCCCAGCAACAGTGCAAGTTACCTAATGATTGTTGGATAAGGCAGCTAGAAGGCATGTTATTATATTTCGCTTAGTTTTGCCAATTACATGTACAGTACTTTTATTATGAAACTTTGCCTTAGAGAAGAAATTACCTCTAAGCAATATTAAATCAAGCTTCGAACAAACAAATATAATTATGTCTTTCCGGCATTCTTATTTATTTCAGTTATACCAGTGAAGTCTATTCTAGTTTTTGTTAATTTGGCCTATCTGTTTCCAGATCTGTAGCTGTTGTTTCATTGAATGATCCTCAGCGTGCAAAGAAATTAGTGTCTGATAGGCCAGGGCTAGTGGATGTTGCCATTGGGCTAGTGATTTTTGTTCTTAACTTGCCCAACAGGCAAGTGCTGTTTTTTTTTGGAAAAATTCAAATTACATAACGATTGTAATCAATCCTGCTAATCAATAAGGGTTTTGGGGCTAGTTGAAATGACTTGTGGGCTATAGTACATGCTAGCTACAGCTTGCCCGAATGGCAGGCTGTAAAACTGACTTTCTTTGCACCCTGGATCCTTTAGTGTTGTACTACGCAGTTATTACTGTACCAACAACTTGTGACCTTTGTTTTGTACAAATGAATTTGGCTAATAGTTGTATTATAGTAGGAAAGAAAATAAACTATCTTTTCCTATAGAAATCTTTATTAAACCTTTAGTTAGTGATTTCATTATACAATTTTAGAATACACTTTTCTAGTAGTGTTTTAATTTTTAACAAACAATCATATGTGAATATGGTAAGTTTTAAAGAAAATTCCCAAGACATACATGTACGTGGTTTAGACAACTCCAGATATAAGTGATGTCATTTTTAAGGGTTTTTCAGCTGGCTTTCAAGGGTGTTTTTGAAAACTTGCTTTTATTTTCAATTTTTGTTACAAAGAAAATGTTAAATTGTTGTTTTATTTGTAATTAAAAACAGGTTAAAACACCATTAAAAGCACGTTAAAACACCTTTAAAAACAGATTAAAACATCATCAAAAACAGGCTAAAACACCACTGAAAACAGGGTTAGACGACATTTAAAGGCAGGTTAAAACACCATTCAAAACAGGTTAAAACACCATTTAAAGCAGGTTAAAACACCTTTAAAAACAGGTTAAAACACCATTCAAAACAGGTTAAAACACCATTCAAAACAGGTTAAAACACCTTTAAAAACAGGTTAAAACACCGTTAAAAAAGGTTAAAACACCTTTAAAAACGGATTAAAACACCATTAAAAATAGAATTTTGTACCTGTTTTAAATGAAGTTCTCAAATACAATTAAAACAGTTTTAAAAATATATCAAAAATATGTTAAATAGTGTTTGGCTTGGTATGGGTAATTATTGTTTCTGATGTTTGTTATTTTTATATATATCTAATTTCATGAAGACGAGCACAGTTTATGCGGCAAGTTTACTGGAGACAATGATCTAACCTAGCATCAGGTTTGATATAAGCTTACAGAACTTTCAAAAGCCTTTAGATATGTTTACTAGAAAGAGAAATAGACAAGGAAATACACAAACTCAAGTACTTTGTGGTCGAAACGGACGAGGTAATTAAGCTAAGGGATTACACGGAAATGGATATAGTCAACAAACGAGCGGAGGAAACCGTGGGCAAGTTAGCGTATCTTATTTCGCAAGCAGAGGAATTACAAATAGATCATGGTGTATCTCCTCGATCGATGAGACAAGGGAAGAAAGACGTGAAAGCAAGGCACTCCACATTTCTTGTGGACAAAGAAAAGCTTGCGAAGTTCTTAAATAACAGACATGGGGAAATGGAAAGAAAACGATTTGAAGCCAAACAAGAACAACAGCAAGAAGAGGAGAGCCGTTTAACTGAGTTGCACTTCCGACAAGAAGAGCACGAACGAGACAGGAGAAAACAGGGTTCGTACGCGTCTTGAAAACCCTTGAAAACCCTTGAATTTCAGGAGTCCAATTTCAAGGCCTTGAAAGTACCTGAATTTTGTTTTCGGTCCTTGAAAGTCCTTGAGTTTTTATTGAACAAGATCGGAAATGTTCTGCACTATCTGTAAACCCAAAACGTAGATGTTAACACAAACATTTTTCTTGGTTTTGAGGTAAAATTGTCATTAAAAAACTCCTTGAAATTTCTAGTTAGGGTCCGGGAAAGTCCTTGAAAAGTCCTTGAATTTTTGGCCTGAAAAAGTGTACGAACCCTGAGAAAATTGATGCATAATTACAGGCGACGCATAAACGGCTGAAACTGGAAAAAGAAGCCCGTTCAACCACAGAAAAACTGCCCTAATTGATAATAACACCGTTCAAAAGAACGCCCACCGATTGGGTTAGATTCGAGAACATGGTTATCACACAAGTCCACAACAAATCGATGAGCGCAGAAGAGAAATTCGGAAATGGTCAATCCAAACGTACGAGCAAAGATAGAAAACCTGAAGCCTGGTGAAATGGGCTACAAGAAAGACTGAAATCGGAGTATAGCCAGAGCAAACTTGTTTTGAACGCACACAAAGGATCCAATTGCTTAAAGATTCAGGAATTTTACCAGAGCGCGAGCAGAAATTTGTATGCGTTGCTGACAATGGGCGAAGCCGACATGCTAAGGGGGTTCGTGATGTCCACTCTTAACAAAATACCGCAAGTGAGGCCCGATACTGTGCGAACGAAAATTGGGAGAACTGGGATATGGAGGCCTTGATAAACAACCTTTAGCAGTGGTTGAAAGGAAACAAAGTAGATGATACACCCGAAGATAGTGGAGGTGTACGACGGAGAAGAGAGAAAAAGGTAGACCCAGTCTGTATCTTTCGTACTGTATCGAAGTTGCGAGACTTCACAACCGTCCGAAGACCGGATAAAAAGAAGTTTACTTTAAAGGAGCAGTACGAGCATACCAAAGACAACAGGTTCTACAAACACGTTGGAGACGAGTATCCTTTACACGTGAGTTTAGGACACGGTACCTATTGTCGAATAAGAACCGAAGAAGTATACAAGGGACAACCGGGAAAGCCAATTGTGGAAGGAACGACGTTTGGCCGGGTAATCCATGGTGGAAACGACTCAGATAGCCAGAGCTTCTTCAGCAGAGATACAAGCGACTTTACAACCTCGACGTTTTGTGGGTCAGGGACAGGGGTGAGGATGACGAGCTTGATGTCTACACGGAGTTCAAAGAGAACATAGTAAGGAAGCACGACGGAAGGTACGAGGTAATCATTCCTTGGAAACCAGGGGCAAAACTAGATGGAACCAATAAAAAACAAAGCCGGAGACGCTAACGGAACATGGATATATAACTAAGACAAAGGGAACAGTTAAAGGCTGAGTACACACATAATTGAAGAACAGCTAGAAGAAGGAATAGTCGAAAGAATCCCAAGCAAACCAACGCGGAAACGAGTATTCTATTTGCCACATAAGGCGCTGTTGTTCGAACAGAAGCTGTCACAAAGAAAGCCAAATGGGTATTTGATGCCAGTGCCAAACCTCATCTCCTAGCTGCAAGCATAAACGAATGCATGTACACTGGCCATCCCTACAACCCCTTCTGTGGGACATAATGTTTAGAACAAGAATGTCTGAGAACCTCCTGATGGAAGTTAATATATAGATTTAGCCAGGGCTAAAAGCGAAGCTCCCGTTAATAAATTCGTAATTTAAATCAAACAATAAACTTGTAATCCACAGATCAGGGCACATTCATTTGACTTTTGAGGCAAAGGCTGAGTGATTTTAGAGAAAAATCAGAATTTGACCGTCCAAGAGTGAAACAAATTCTACATCAAGTTATTTGTACACCGAAAAATAGCAATCATGTTCCATCACAGTAGATTAGGCCTGGAAAACAAATAGACATATTCGTGTATTGTATTTGCATTAGCTGTAGCACCATAATCTGGCATTCACCAGTCTCTTCAACATTGCTCCGTTAGAGAGACTATGGATAATTGGACAACCCCGAAATATAATTTTAAGAAACACATGCGCCACGATAGTCCTTGGTGGCAGCCAATTTACACGTTGAATTCCTCTGTATAAAAGAGAGGCCAAAATAAAAATAAATCAGGCCGGATTTTTTGTGTTCGACAAGTTTACTTTACTAGTAAATCTTGGCGACGAATCTGGTGGGGTGTAAACCAGCCTTTTAAACAAACTTTTTCTCATCACGTCTCAGGTAAACAGTACACAGACCTCGGACAGAATTTGTTCTTTTTTGCCCTATTTAAACCTATAATTCTGCCGTTTTTCACAATTTTGCAAGAGAATTTGCACTCTTTCAATATCCACGACGATCAAAGCACGCGCTTCCTTTGCACAACAAATTATAGCATTGAATTATAATTCGTTTTCTGTGAGAAAAATCTGGTCCCCATCTGGTCCTATGTGATATGCAGGGTAATAATTATGGGCTTTTAATGAAAACGGTAAAAAAATTCCCAAAATCACTTTTCGGCCAGCAGGACGGGTTCTCACTTTTGACAGGCACCAAATTTGCAGTGCGATTAATAGAGTTACCATTTACGCTTTAACATGATAGAGAAATTGTTGTGTTTAGGTTTTATTTCCCTTTATTTATTAAACTGCGTATGGTTTTGGTATGTGTAATCTTTAAAAGCGAGTGATATTTACGCGCGGCGTTTTGAGTATTCCTACATGCGATGTTTATGTTGGACTGGAAACAACCGGTGCAGCGATGAAAATTGCGAGAGGGTCTACTAACAATCAATAAAATAAGTTTGATTCGGTGAAACATGTACAGAGACAATAATTTTCATTCACGAAGAGAAGTGTTGAGAGTAAAGTGTCTTTGAAAATCATGAGTCAGGCAAGCAGAAGCCTATTTATGTTTTAAGCCGGCTTCCCGGTGTTCGCTCTTTTTCAAGATGAACTCGAGGCAAGAAAATCGCTCAGAGCTTTCTGTTTACAGTCAAAATCATAACTAGATAATCTTCGGAACCTTTTCTTTGAATTTGCGGGTCAAAAAATGTCTAAAGGCTTTTTAAACCTGATACTATTGTAGGTTAGATCATTGCTCGTGTTTTAACTTAAGCCGCATAAACCATACGCTCGACTTCAGGAATCCGAAAAAAAAAAACATCAAAAACAATAATGGCTCAGGCTTACCAGTCGAGATGCTGCTTCTGAAGGCCATCAAGTGTTCCAGAATCGCTTGAGACTTTTCAAACCTTCTTACGCCTCAAGCAAGGGCAAGTGAGTAAGCTCATTTTTGAAAACGATGCCATCCGAAATCGGATTTCCAATGACTTTGACAAGCGGTGCATTTGTCAACAAAAAGCGCAATAAACAAACCCGTCACGAATTACAGAACAATCTTGATAGCAGCTGTATTTCATTTTGTACACCAAGTAGAAAAAGACAGTTTAAAACATCACAAGATGACACAAAACTCTCTCAGCTCCAGCTATCAGTAAGCAAGTTTCCAGACGCTGCATAAATTTTCCGCATAAACTCACCTGTCAAATTTTGACCAATCAGAACATAAAAATTGGACGTAGAGCGTGATCAACGCGTGACAGTGAGAAAAGTCAAAAGCGATTGCCTTCCCTACATGTAATTGTAAAAGTCGGTTGAATTTTCGTGTCCGAGATCAGTTCGAAATCAACATTTTAAAAGTGCGGCTCATGAAACACGACTTATTTCATACGCATTTTAAAAAAATTGAACTTGAGCCTGCGATCATTTGAAAAGTAGCAACTTGTCAGCGGATACCTTCAAAATATTACTCGAACTCAGAGGGTCCATACCTGAGCCCGCGATACGGTCAGGCGATACTGGTCATCAGAAACACTGTTTTGACAGCTGTCAATTAATCAAAACATGGACGTACAATATCAGGTTGCAGGCTCCTAAACTAGCTAGAAAGTGTGAGATTAAACATTGGTATGCCTGTGGTGCGGACGGACGGAAGGTCGGGTGGTCGGTGTACGGTCACGTGATTGCCGAATTTTCTAGGGTGGATAGATTTTCTATAAAGCTATGGGGCTTCGAATTGAGCCCGTGATCAAATAAAATATCAGCGCAAAACTTTAAACACTACGTGACCTCAATAGATAGAAAAATGAGCCCGCGATACACTCAGGTGATGATGGCCAGCGTATACTCTAGTTTGACAGCTGTCAATTAACCTTCATTAGAATGGCGAATATTCGAATTAACAGACTACGAGTGTGAGTAGGACATTTCCGTCCGGCATGTAGTGGAAAATGCCAGATCGTGTACCTGAGCGAACCTGAGCCCTCGTTATTAGTTTTCTGATAGTGGTCTGCACATGTCCCATTTTGACAGCTGTCAATTGACCTTAATTTGGCTTGCCAATGTAACTTTAAACGACTGTCAGCCAACTGACAGCCTTGCCCGGCGTAGTTTCGTTTTTATGTTGAATTGGTAAGTGTGACATATTATATCAGCTTAAATATAGGGGCAAAACGACTGGTCTTTTATCTGAGCCTGCGAGACGGTCATGTGGTAATTTTCAGCGGATGTCTGATTTTGATAGCTGTCAATCTAATCGTACTCATACGGATGGCTTACATAACTAAGAGGCTAGTCAAATTGTGCAAGATCTTTTGTGACATTTGACATCGGCTTACATGAAGTTTGTGTACGGACGGGCGTACGCTACGTCATAACCAAATTTTCTGGGATGGATAGTTTACCAAATTTTCTTACCCATGGTGCTCCGGTTCGCGCGCGCGAAGCGCGCGCGGGAGCTCCGCTATCAAGAAAGCATTCCTACGAATCGGAATAAAGGAAGAAGACAGCTAGGGACGCTTTCCGTTTTTTTTTTTTTTCACCCTACACGGAAAAGAGGAGAAGTTTGCGAATATCAATATAAAACATCATTATAATTTGCGATTGTCTGCAAAAGAATGTTTCTCTGTCAAATTCTCTAGAACTGAAAAAGTGAAAAAAAAAAAATCTTTTACTAGAATTGCTGAGTGTGTCTCTTTGGAAACACTTTCTGTTAAGACTCTCAACGGATCTAATTTTCGTAAAAAATGAAATCGCTACTCCTTAATGTTTTAGGTGATATGAAGATAATTATTTAATAGAATATTTTATGAAGTTAACCTGATATGTTGTATATACCTCCAGTAGTAGTTTTAGTTTTTTCAAATAACAAAATCCCCTGTACTTGAATTTGTACGTAACGTGTTTCTTTCTGTATGTTATTGTATTTCTTTCCTTTTCTTCTTTCTTATGTAATTTAATAACGTCTTTATTTAAACCCTTGCATCAAGAGCGCGGTCAAAAGCATGGCAAGCCCGGCCAGCCCAGGCTTGCCAGGAAAGCGTGGCCTGGAAAAGGCTGGTAAGCCCGGGCAAGGCCAGGGTTTTGAGGTAAGCGTGGCCATAGAAGCGTGGCTTTTCCGGCCACACTAAAAAATAGGCCAGCATTTCATGGCCTTCCCGGCCAGAAAACCAGAAGCCGGGAAAGCGAAGAATTCGCGGCCATGTTCTACAAGTGACGGCAATAGAACTAGAAACAATTTTGTTACAATATTTCTACCTATTTATTATTTGCAATTAGAAATGTATCAATACCAAAAGCTTTTTAGGTAAATAGAAAATGCAGAGTTTTAAGAAATTAGTGCAAGAAAGGGAAAAACATAGATCATAAAGCTACAAAAAGTCCACTACTCTCTTTCCACAAAGGTTGGCACTCTGGCAAAACGCAAATCTTGCTTGTTTCCACTCAGATAAAAACGTTTTCCTCAATAGCAGCAACATTGAATTATGTATGCATAGATGTATGAAGTAATATAAAGTTAATTTTCAATATTTGATGACAAAGCAATTCTGCAAAACTTATATGGCGAAGCCCCATAGCTAAGGTAATCTACCCATCCCAGAAAATTTGGTAATCACGTGACCGACCGACCGAGCGACCGACCGACCGTCCGTCCGCACCACAGGCATACCAATGTTTACTCTCACACTTTCTAGCTACTTTGGGAGCTCAGGAGAAAGCTGATTGCACATCAATGTTTTCATCAATTGACAGCTGTCAAAACAGGGTATCCGCTGACCACTATCACCTGACCGTATCGCGGAATCAGGTGTCGACCCATCAAGGTCGAGTATTTTTGAAGTTGTCCGCTGACAACTTACTGGTTTTCAAATGATCGCAGGCTCACGTTTACTTTTGTTTTAAATTCACAA